ATGATATTTAGGAATCTCTAAAAAACTTAGAAGACTTTTGATTCTTGAAAAAGATGTTAAAATTGAGAACAGAAATGGAACTTAGGAAGAAATAGATGAGAAAAAAATATAAGTTCTTTTTATTTGAGATACCCAACTAAAGGGATAGTTCTTCCCACCCCACTTCCCTCTCTTTGAAAAAGGAAACTTAGGATTCCTTCCTTAATTTGAACAACTCAGAGAACACTGCCCTCCCTTCTCACATCTTAGATAATAATAAGAGTCTCCTTAAATAGAATTTTCTAGTTTATGAATCCTAAAATATTCAAATGCATCATTGCAGAAATAATAGTGTTTTCCAAGTATCAGAATAAATTTACACTGCAATATTGCAAGGCTAGAGCACCTAACACTTTCTGTCAGCCTAAAATGAGTTTGTTTATGGCATGGCTGATTTCTTCTTTGACCCATAATTTATTTAGAATATGTTTTAAAATGTGCTCACATGTGGAAATGTTTAATCTATATTTTTGTTACATATTTCTAGCAATTTTATTGTTGTCAGGTAACTAGATTTTATATGAAATCAAACATTTGGCATGTGGTGAGACTTGAATTGTCTATAATACAATCAGTTTTTGTAAATGTTTCATGGGAGCCTGGGAAGAATGTGTTTTCTCTAGTTGTCAGGGAGGGAAGAGCTCTATGTGTGTCTATTAAGATCAGCTCATTACATATGTTGTTCAGCTCTTCTATATCGTTACTAATATTTTGAATGCTTCACCTATCTATAACTGAGCAAGGTACACTACAATCCTACATTATGAGGCTGTATCTGATAGTTTCTCTCTATAGTGGTTTATGCATTTTGGTTCTATTTTATTAGATGCATGTTAGTTTATAGTGTTTATTTCTTCCTTGTAAAATTAAACTGTTATAATTATATAGTGTCCTCATCCCTAATAATGCTTTTTTTCTTTACTTAAAATATATTTGTCTGATATTAATATAGCTACCTTGGATTTATTTTGGTTATTATTTGCCTGGTATCTTTTTAAAAAATTCTTTTACTTTCTCCCTTTCAATGGCACATGTTTTAAGTATGACTCTTGTAAACAATACCTAGCTGGGTTTTGATTATCAGTCAGTGAGTCTGGCCCATCTACATTTACTGCGATTATGAATAATGGGGGGAATTTAAATCACAAGTAAAATAATCCTTTCAGGAATGGTTAGCTTTAACAGGACACTAAACCAACAACTGCGTTCAAGATTCTGCTGAGGGTGGACTGAGAAGGAGAGAAGCACCATGACAGAAAGGGGCCTTCAAGTCACAGGTGCCACGTACGTGAGTGTGCTGCATGCCACCAAAGCACCTACCAGTGCACTTGCCTGACCCTGGAGAGAGAGAGCTGTGCTGTCTTTGCCCACCTGATTCAGAGACAGCCATTTGAAACACTAGGCTTAATAAGATTCTGGATGCTTGTTAGCACCAAATGATTGCTGAAATGGTAGTACTAAAGATAAAATACATGGTACCATTCTATTCCTGCAGTGACTCATGCATATTTGATGTGCAGGGATTTCTTATATTCCATAAAATCATTTTCAGGGTTTCCTTAAACTATCCCTGAAGAACTATCTGTATTGTCTTCAGGCTTTCTGGCAAATGAGATTTTCATGATGATTTCTACAAAATTACATGTTTTTTACTCCCACTGTGTCACTAGCCTCCTTGTGTTGTTTCTTATCTTTTTCAATTTCATCCAGAGAAGTTAAAAAAATATTTAAATAGTATCTTAGCCCAGGAACTATAAAACTGCTTGAGGCTTCCAATGAAACAGAAATAGGATTCTTGTATAATTCACCATTGGAAAAGCAACAATAATATGCATGATAGTAAAACAATAGGTATTAAGTGCCTGGTAGGTGGCAAGTATTTTGCTCTGCAGTCTGTGTGTGTGTAAAATCCTCACTTAAATATGAGAAACCTAAGGCTCAGAGAAGTTAAATATCTTAGTCCATTTCTGCTGTTATAACAAAATACCTTAGACTAGCTAATTTATAAGTAACAGAAATTTACTGGTCACAGTTCTGGAGGCTGGGAAGTCCAACCTCAAAGGTGCCAGCAGATTTATTATCTGGTGAGGGCCTTTTCCTCACAGAGCACCTGCTATGTGGCCTTACATGGCAGAAGGGACAGACATGCTCCCTGAATCTCTTCTATAAGGGCACTAGTCCCACTCATGAAAGCTCTGCCCTCGTGATTTAATCACTTCCCCAAAGACCCCACCTCCAGGGATAAAAGTTCAATGTGTAAATTTTGGGGGGACACTAACATTGAGATGATAGCATTAAATAACTGGCACAAGATCATACAGCCAGTGAAGGGTAGAGCTAAGATTCAACCTGGGTCTCTTTTAATCCAAAGCCCATATTACAATGATGAAAAGAACTAGCCCTGGAGTGAAAACCACTGGGGTTCAAATCTGCACTCCAACACTTACTTACAAACTGTGGCAATGGGAAAGTTATTTATCTCCTGTGTACCTTAGCTTCCTCATCTATAAAATGGGAATAATAGTAATATCTATCCATATAGTAGTTGTGAGGATTTAATGGGATGATATGAGGGGATAACTCAGAATAAAGCCTGGCATATAGAAAAAGCTTAAAAATTGTTATTATAATTTCAGGGGGCATTTCTTGGGCTTCTCTATTATCAGTAAGTGATATTGCTTGTCAAATTCTAAGGTTTCTTTAAATGTCATGTTCATGTGGTTCTCACCCTCATCTTCATGCATCCTACTCACCTGCCAACATGACACCCTGAATTCCTAGTGGTCCTACTTGGACCCTCACCTTGTTTCCCTCCAGCCATTATGGCCCAAGTTAGATGGCGCTTCCTCCTCCATAGGGTGTTCCCTGATTTCTCCAACTGTAACCTTAACTAGCACTTTATGGTGTTCACATGATATTTAATGACTGTATAGGTCATTCCTTCATTCTATAAATATTTCCTGAGCACCTACTGCATGCCCAGCCCTGTTCTAGGCACTGGATCCCTCCTTCACGGAATTTTTATGCTAATTAGTGGCATGGGGAGACCAACAATAAAAAAAGACACACCAAAACATAAAGAAAATCATCAGAGAGTTAAGTGCTATGTAAATAGTTAAGGTGTGATCCTACGGAGTTACTGGGCAGCTACTTTAGACTGGGTAGTAAGAGATAATTTCTCTGAGAAGTTGATAAGCTGAGATCTGAATGGAAATACCAAGTCAGTGATGTAAATGTCAATGGGAAATGCATTCCAGGAAAGAAGATGCAGCTAGTGCAAAGGCGGGAAGGTAGAAATAAACTTGTGTTGCATTTAAAAAACAAAAAGTAGGCTGGGCATGGTGGCTCACACCTGTAATTCTAGCACTCTGGGAGTAGTGTAGAAATGTTAGCTAAAATTAAAAATCTGTATGTCTTGCATTGTCATTACTAGCTTCTAAACTAGAGCAGGAAGAATTACTTAATATTCTTTCTATCTACCACAATACCTAACCCGTATCCTTATGTTCTAGAGATTACAAGGTTGAATAGCACTGAACAATAAAAGCTTATAAAATGAATCAGAGAGTCTCTGATTAATGCCTTCAATGTTGTTATCAACATTACCATCATTACTGTTAAGCATTAATGCTTTAAAAATATATAACATGTATACAGAAAAATAAACTATAAGTGCACATACGAATTTTTACAGAGTGAACACACCATATAATTAGCACCACTCCTGAAAATTTGAAGCTAGAAGATATTCCCCTAACTGAAAAAGCTACATGTCTAAAGATGGTCACACTATGGAAAAAGGTGAAAAAAGCTAATTGTTTGGTGGAGTAAATGTTGGCACATAAACTCAGTGGAACAATATGCAGCCATTAAATATAAATTTGAAGAATTATATAGCAAAATTCACCAACTTGAATGTCCTTGAGTCAAGCAGGCAGAACTACCAGAAGCAGCTTCGTATAAAATGGGGGAGTTGGGTCAAAGACAGTCAGAGAACTCAGAGTGGAGAGTGTGTGCAAGCCCTGCCTTAAAGACATTCACATTAAAGTATTTAATAATAATTATAATTTTAATAAATCAAACAAAATAAAAGATGGTATTGACTAAACAAAACATGGGCCAAGTTTTGCCCATAAGTCTTGAGTTTGTGACCCTTTCTGGAGATACAGGAAAATAGTCAAAGGTGAAATAAACACAGTAGATATGGCGATATGATTATAACAGTGAAAAGATTATGCCTACATATGGACAAAAACTGGAGGTAAGTATGGAAAAATGAACATTGGCCTTGGTGGGAACTTGGCCAAATTACTTTTTGCCTTTAAACCTCAGTTTCTTCATTTGTAAAATGGGGACTTAAAAAAAATGCCTTCCTCATACAACTGTTGTAAAGGTTAAGTGCAATTGTAAGAGTATAGTAGGTAGAAAAGTACCTGGCAAGTGGCTAATAAAACAATTTTTCTCCTCCTCATATTCTTCCTTATTATTTTGTTATTATTAACTATTTCTGGATCTCATATCCCACCATCCTCTTCCCCTTTGTTCTGCCACCTCCAGTCACAGTAGCCTTCTTGGCATTTCTTCAACATGTCTCAGCCTTAGGGCCAACATTCTCTTGTCCCTAGTATTTATATGCCTGCCTTCGTAAGGGTCTCTGCTCAAATGACACTTCCTCAGAAGGATCTCCCTGCTTTCACTCTGCTTTTTTTTCATTACACTTAGAACCACCTGACATTCTGTGTATGAGTGAGGACCTGGCACATACTAGATGTTGAAGCATTATTTGTTGAATATTGTTGAATATTTAGGGTAGAGACAATGTGCCTTATTTTTCCCCTTTTTTTTTCTGAATCCTAGGATAACGAAGTTAAATGTGTAATTTAAAAACTTTTTTTTTTTTTTTTTGGCAGGTGATCTTATTGTGTAGCTCTTCATAATCTTTCCTAACTTTTTTTTGGCAGATCAGCCATACAGAAGCTGGGGACAGAAGTATTTGAAGAGGTCTATAATTACCTCAAGAGAGCCAGGCATCAGAAGGCCAGTGAAGCAGAGATCCGGGAGTGTCTGGAGAAAGTGGTGCCTCGGGCCAGCGACTGTTTTGAAGTAGACCAGCTCCTCTACTTTGAGGAGCAGTTGCTGATCACAATGGGGACAGGGTCGACTCTCCAGAGCCATCACTAAGCAACTGTCAGAAACAAACAGAAGTTCAAGTGGACAACTTTCTGTGAAAATCCATTAAACATGTAAGCTGGACTCTGTTATGGGAAATGAGCACAGAACTGGAGCTACCATCTTCACTTTCAATTCCTTGTCCGAAGTAATGTCCCCTGCAGAGAGCAGAAAACAGGGCCGCCTGTACTCAGATCATAAGTGAGGTTTGGACTATACCCTGAGATAAGCTTGTATTAATAGATCAAATTTGGCTTCTTGGAAAGCATTTCCCTCGTGTGCACCCTAGGGCTTCCAGTAGGGTTGAACCACCCTGGCAATGGTCTGGGAGAAGCCCTGTGCGCTTTACCATTTATAATTGGAGGACAGAGCTCAGTGCCCATCCAGGGTCTCTGCAGACTGTGGGCGGGCTGCTTGTGAAGGTCACTGGACATTAGCCTCTAACATGCTGAGCCGCAGCCCAGGAGTCAGACATGCCTGTCTCAGATGACCTATTTTGGGTCCACTTTTGCCCCTGGATTAAAAATCCAAAACGTTATTCTCCTCTGTGATTTTTTCCAAACTCATCAATAGATCATTGAAGTCTTTTTTCATAATAAATATATTTATAATGATCACAGAATAAATTACCTATTTTATCTTTTCCTTATGCAAAAGTTTCTTGTCAAATGTAACACATGTATTAATGATAATCATTACTTAGAGCGGCTAATTTATGCTTAGCTTAGCATTAACCAGTTTACCCTATAGCCTACTTCCTTACAAGCTTACTGTGTAAGTCTCATAGCCTGTCATAAGGTCCTAACTTCTGTACATAGCATCTTTAATGTTAACAAACCTCAAGTTTTCCCTTTGAGATGTTTTCCAGATTCTGCATTCCAGGGGTCTGCTGACACCAGCCAGTCTCAAAACTTCCTCCAAGGAGCCCACTCAGCACAGGAATCCAGTTTCTTCATCTCCCTATCCCATGACGTCACCCCTCACTTTTTGACCAGTCAGCAACTCCCCAGCTCCTCAGCCCCCTACTCACCAAAATTCCCTTAAAATCCCAGTCCAAAACTCCTCAGGGAGGCAGAATTGAGGTTCTCTCCCACCTCCTCAGCTGGCTGCTGTTGGATTATAAAACTTTCTCTGCCGCAACTCCTGCTGTTTTGGTGTATTGGTCTGTTACCACACAACCGCCACAAAACTGGTGGTCTTATATCATGACCACTGGGCTCTAAGTCTCTGTGTATCCTGTGGCTTTACTTCTATCTCTGCCCAGTGACCAAAGGAACCGCCACCCAAGTGAATGCACAATTTCTCCAGTGCTCAAGAGCTATGAACATCATTCTTCTGTGTTCCCACAGCTCCCTGACACTGTAGAGAAGTATTGGGGGCAGCACAAATCTTCACTCTGCCTTTTCCCAAAGCTCATGATGCCCATTCTCACCACCACCACCATCACCCCACCCTGCACGCTAGGGAATCATTCCTGGCTGGGAGACTGGAAGACAGCAGCGTATCTGTGCTCTCACAGCCCCTGTGTCTATAGCAGGAAGAGCAGACCCCAAATATTGGCTTCTGGAGGTGGGATCTGAGATTTTTCAGAATTGCAAACTTGAGCATGTTTCCCAAGTCAAAATCTAGGACATCAAAAATCAGGTTTGCCCTGGGAAACCCTGGACAGGTGGGGCCTGTGACCACGCTGCTGAGAGTGGACATGGACATTTCCATCATGTTAACGGGGAAGAGACTTCACCCCAGGAAGAGTTCCCCAAGCCCCCATGTCCTTTTGGGATCACCCAGGTTGCAAATGAGCCTGGAAGAGGGGGAAACCACAGTAGGATCCAAGTTAATAAAAATTTCTGAATCTCCTTACTGATGGTTTTTATATCATTAGAACAGAAGAAAATTTGTGGGAGTTGCTGAGTCTGAAGAAGAAATAGCTATATTTTCAAATAGTTTCTTTCACAAACAGATTAACATGCCCAGGGGAAAATACCCTACATTTCAGAATATGTTTCTAAAAAGACAGGTGGAGACTGAAATCATCCTACCCTCCAGGGATTTGTGCTATACAGCACCCCAGGCTTAAAAGAAAACAGAGCTAGGAAGAAATATTAAAATAGCATTTTGGATCACAGCTCCATGCCTTTTTTTTTTTTTTTTTTTTGAGACAGAGTCTCACTCTGTGCCCGGACTAGAGTGCCGTGGTGTCAGCCTAGCTCACAGCAACCTCAAACTCCTGGGCTCAAGGGATCCTCCTGCCTCAGCCTCCCAGGTAGTTGGGACTACAGGCACGCACCACCATGCCCGGCTAATTTTTTATATTTTTAGTTGTTTGGCTAATTTCTTTCTATTTTTAGTAGAGACGGAGGTCTTACTCTTGCCCAGGCTGGTCTCAAACTCCTGAGCTCAAACAATCCGTCCACCTTGGCCTCCCAGAGTGCTAGGATTACAGGCATGAGCCGCTGTGCCTGGCTCAGCTCCATGCCTCTTAAGGGAAGCTCACTCAACTTTACCTTTCATTTGGCTCACTGGGGTGAGGGTGAGGAGCAAAATTTAAAATAACCTAAGAAAAATATGTTTTTGTGATTATTAATACCACTGGGAAATGCTTTCTCCTTCAACTATAGTTGGTCTTAATTTTGGACCACTTCAGTATGGGTACTAATAACTAACCAACTACAAGATGGTGGGGGAAATTTTAGCTGAGGAGTTAAAGAACTAGGAAGTTGCTTGTTATGAGACAGTCTCAGGAATGAAGGAATAAAGGGACCCTGCTAGCTTGCTGCTTTGTGAAAAATACATATATATTTCACAAATGCCAATTGGCCTTTCTGCTTTCTATTTATGCAAAGGAAATGCCACCAGCTATTTTGGGTGATGTGGAGATAAAGCACACAAAGGAGAGTGATGGAAGTTAATTATTTAATGTCTTTGGGGCTGAGGCTGGAGCAAAAGCTCCACTTGTGTTGTAAGAGTCCAGACAACACAGTGGGCACAGAGTAAAGGGGGCTGACAAATGAAGTGGAGGCTCAAGGAGAGAAAATACCCCACAGACCTCTTTCAGGATAATGGGACCACTCCACTAACCAGTGTGTCAGAAGAGAATGGGGTCAGGACACCAAGATGATAAATGACCAAAAAAGAGGCAAAGAGAGGGAGAAGTGAGGTGTGTGTAAGAGAGAAAGAGAGAGAGAGGAGGGAGGAGGGAGGGGTAGACACAGAGTAAAGAATGCTTAAAAATACTTCTGCCAAAACCTATGTAAGGAAAAAGACAATTGAACTTGATACTAGATGACTTGGATTCTAGACCCACTCTTGCCATTTACTGTGTGATCTAGGGCAAGTGACTTCTCTAAATCTATTTTCTGCCTATGTCTGAAAACTCCTGTCAAGGATAAATGATATAATAGGTCGAATCATATGAAATTGCCAGTGTGCTTCGGCCTAACATGTAGAAGTGCTTTAAATGCTATAAAATGCTCACAATTTTGAAGGAAACATTATTAACATTATTGTCAAGCCGCCTCATCTTTCACCATTGGAGATTCATCCCTGAAGGCTTCTGTGATTCTATTACTCCCATACAAATACACCCAAAAGATAAACACTTTTAGCCATTTTCAGCTAGCACTTGACTAGAGATGTGCTGAAAGTCAACTAAGAGCCGAGAGAACCATGAAGAAGCAGCTATGAAAAGGCAAGTGAGTGGCTCTCCAAACCAGCTTTGCTTCTTCTGCACAATGCCTCAACTCATGTTACATTTTGTTAATCTGCATGTGTAACCCCAAAGTGATCATCATCACCAGAACCCATAGGATGCTCAGGCCTTCCCTAACTTCAGAGAGAAGTTCAAAAATTTGGTTCAACAAATATGCATTATGAAATAGCATATTCATAAATATTCATGAGAAGCATCATAGTCATTGACATTTATACAGAATTGAACACTTGGCTCCAACAGGAATATTTTCAAAGTAGATTTTTGTAGGTTTAGTTTGGGAGAAAATCTTTCAATGGCTAGAAATTTTTTTTTTTTTCTTTGCAAAATATCATGGCTTTTCCCCACTTTGATAGATTAAATTTTTGGTCCCAATTTACTCCTCCCTGTTACTTTGTAGCTCTCAATATTTCCAGTCCCTTGACTCTGAGTTTGGCCAGGGAACTTGCTTTGGCTGCGTGATATGTTCAGGGGGTGGAAATGTGTTGGTGCGGCAGGGTATACTCCCTTGGGCCTCTACCATTACCAGCTGGCCCACCTGTCACAGGAGGAGGATTAGAGAAGTGGAGCAGAGCTTCCCCAGCCACTGCAGAATAAAGCAGAGCCATGCCAGGTGATCTGCAAACTCCTGAGCAAGAAACAAATGTTTATTGCTGTATGCTATGTGGGTCTCGTGGTTGTTTGTCATGCAGCATTATTAAAGCAACAAGCTAAACAATATACCTGCCTTCTTCTCACATCATTCCCCCTACCCCTTCCCCGACACATTTTATAAATCCTTGGACTTTGTTCTTTTTGGCATTGGTTTTCACAAATTTGCAAGAAGTTTATCTCTCATTAAATGACCCTGTGGCTTCTTAGAAAAAATACAGATATTCTTTTTCAAAATGGTCCAGGTGAACCACAAACTCTGGCTTTCCTGGCTTTCCACATGTTTCAAGGCAATGTAGAATGGGAGCATGGCACCTACCTTGGCCTTCTCTTCTGTAGATGTGGTCTAATTCTACTCTTTGGATTTTAGCTCAATGTGTATTGAGTTCTCATCCTGTACCAGGCACTAAGTGTAGGCACACAGTTTTGAATGATAAGAACTCACCAGACAAATAAAAGGGAGGAAAAGATCTTGCAGGTAAAGATGGGGGACATAGCCCTATGAGTTCTGCGAATTTGAAATATTTTGGTGTTGGTGGTACCTAAAATATGAGAATGATTATGCAGGGTTCAGAGAGGAAGGGGTGTAGCCAGCCTCCAAGATGACTTCCCATGATCTTCACTTCTGGTACTTATTCCCTCCGGAGGTCCCTCCCACATTGCATCAGGGGTAGCCTGTGTGACCAATAGAATACCATAAAGGTGCTTGTGTATGACCTCTGAGACTAGATCATAAACGACTAGGTCATAAAAGATACAAGAGACTGTTTTCTCTTGTATCACCCACTCTGGAGGAAGCCAATCACTATGTTGTAAAGACATTCAACCCCATGGAGAGATCTATGTGATATAAAACCGAGGCATTTTTGCCAACAGCCAGCACCGACTTGCCAGCTATGTCAGTGAGCCACTAGAAGCATATTCTCCAGCCCAATCAAGTCTTCATTTGACTGTAGCTCTGACTGACACCTGGACTAAAACCTCATGAGAAACCCTGAGCTAGCACCACCCAGCTAAACCATTCTATATTTCCTGACCTTCAGACACCGTGAAATAATGAAAGTTTATGGTGGTGGTGTCACTGCATTTTATATAGATGAAATGAATCTATTCTCATGAATAGATCACTATATAGAGCCAAAGCTCAGATCTGTGCTGTTGAGTTTGCTCTGCTATATCCTGCAGCTGGGGGCGGTCCCTGATGCTCATAAGCTTTAACTGTATCATGGCAATGTGTGGAGGAAAGGTTTGAAGAAGGTGAGACTGGAGGCAGGAGAGGAAGGCAGTTAAAGGTATAATCCAGGTGGGAAAAGATGAAGATGTTTTGGTTGCAGGTGCATCTGATGGCTGGAGGTGACCTGCATCTGATGTAGATGTTTTAGAAGGAGGTGATAAGCGGGAACTGGGAGAAGTGAGAACTGACTGGGTGGATAGAAAGGTGAAGGAGGGACTGTGAGGACTCCTATGTTTCCAGCATGGGTGACTGATCAGGAGATAGGCCACACACAGCACTGGGGATACAAAAGGAGATGCAAACAAGGGCCGGAAAAACACTGAGTTCATTCCCAGATGTGTTGGGTTTGAGGTGCTTGTAGGGTATGCAGGTGAAGAGGTCTAGGCATGAAGCTTGAGGCATCTGAAAAATTCTGCTCTTATAATAAAAAGGATCTACTTAATGAGCTCTGGACAACAAAGCAGTGGATATCTTTGGTGCTGTACCCCAAACCAAAAAGAGGGTTGGCTTCTAGAGAATGCCACCTCCTTTAAGGCTATTGGGTGGGATTTTGGGTATGTGAATGCCTAGAGATAATAATAACAACAATAAACAGAATTTAATCCATTCAGGAAGTCCTATGGGATAAAAATTACCCACCAGCATCTAGCTGGTAGGTCTCTGCTGGTGGTACCACTTCGTCCATCCCATGTTGTATATATTCTTCTAAATTAGTGGACCTCAACCATGGCTCTGCATTCGAAGCATCTAGAAAATCTTAAAGTTACCTGGCAAATAGTAGATGCTGGTTGTAGTCTTCTCCCCACTTAAAAAGTGAGCTTAGACCTTACCTCTCTGTCGCTCTTCTTGGATCCAAAGGGATCCTACCTGTGAAAAGGTTTTGTGAAATGCAAAACTTTATTCAAATGTAAATGATAACCTTTACCTTTAACTTCATGAGAAGCCAAAGGTCTTATTATTTTTCTTTTTAGCTTTTTACTATGGAAAACATCAAAATATATAAAAGAATAACATGATAATTCCTGAATAGACAGATCACCCAGCTTCCAAAATTATGAATTCATGGCCCATCTTATTTTAGTTATACCCTTAGCCTCTACCCCTTCATTGAATTATTTGATCATGTCATTCATAAATATTACAGTATGTATCTCAAAAAGATAAAGAACCCTTACAAAACATAGCCACAATACTATTATCACACCTAAAACACTTATCAATAATTTCTATATATCAAATGTCCTCTCAGGATTCACATTTCCCTCACTGTTTGACTTTTCCTTTGTTCAAACTAGAATCCAAAAAAGCCCAATTACTTCAATTGCTATGTCTCCTCAATGTCTTTTAATGTATCGATTCTGTCTCCATGTCTGTTTTCCCCTTGTAATTCATTTATGGAAGAAATCTGGTCATTTGTCCTTTAAACTTTTCTTCAGTCTAGGTTTTACTGATGGCATCCTCATGAATTTTTCTTAAATGAACTATTTTTTTAGATGTTTTATATTAACGAAATTTGTGAAGATACTACAGGGAGGTCCCAAATACTACTCCTAGTTTAACCTATAATTAACAACTTACATTGTTAGAGAACATTTCTTACAATAATGGACCAATACTGACACATTATAATTCATGAAGTCTGTACTTTATTCAGGTTTCCTTAGTGTTTCTCTAATGTCCTGTTTCTGCTCCAGGAGACCACATTCCATTTAGTCATGTCACAGCTGCTTAGGCTCATCTTTGTTGTGAGAGTTTTTCAGAACTTCATTGTATTTTATGACTGCTATAGACTGAATATTTTTGTTCCCCCCAAATTGATATGTTGAAATCCTAACCCCATTGTGTTGGCATTTGGAGGTGGGGCCTTAGGGAAGTGATTAGGTCATGAGGGCGGAGCCCTCATGAATGGGATTAGTGACCTTATGAAAGAGACCCCAGGGTCTCAGCCCTTCTCATCTGTGAGGTTTCAGCAACAAGGTCTTCCATGAACATGAAGTGGCATGACAGCTGGCAGATGCCGAATCTGCCAGCACCTTGATCTTGGATTTCCCAGGCTCCAGAACTGTGAGAAATAAATTTTTGTTGTTTATAAACCACCCAGTCTATGGTATTTTGTTCCAGCAGCCCTAATGGACTAAGACAATGACTTACAATTTTGAGGCTTACTGGGTCAGGTATTTTGTAGAATGTTCCTCCACTGGGATTTGTTTGATGTTTTTCTCAGGATTGGACAGAGGTATGTCCTTTTGGGAGGAAGACCACAGACAAAAGTACCATTTTAATTACATCATATTAAGGGTACATTCTACCAACGTGACTTATCAGTGTTGATGTTGACCTGAACAAGGTAGTGTTTGTCAAGTTTCTCCACAAAGTTACAATTATTGCCCCCTCCTCTTTCCACATTGCACTCTTTGGAAGGAAGTCACTATATACAATCCACAGTTAAAGAGTAGGCAGTTATGCTCCACTCCTTGAGGATGGAGTAGCTACATATTAATAAGTTATTTCCAGTTTCCCTGCATGGGATACTTTTTCTGCCCTAATTATTAATTTATTCAATATTAATTTATATCAGTATGGACCTATACATATTTATTTTATACTTTGGCTTATAATCCAATACTACTTTATTTTGTTGCTCATATTGTATCAGCTTTAGTCACTGGGCGCTCTTTCAGCTGGTTCCTGAGTTGCTGTGCCTTTAACATACTTTCATCAATTTGGTTTCTTTCTTTTCCTTCCTTCCTTCCCTCCCATCCTCCCTCCTGCTCCTCCTCACTTTGTTATATATTTTTTGTGCAACTCTGGCATCACAAGATGTTTCAGGCTCATCATGGGTATATTCCCTGCCCAGTCCTGAAATCAGGCATTTATTCAAGGAGCTTTGGTTCTTTTTATTGGAAAATAGTGTTAGAAGCCAAAATCTGGGCACTAGGTATGACTGCTGTTACTGGATTATTATTGCTTCCAGGCCTACTCAGCTGACAGAGTAAGGAAATAAAAGTGTATACACTAACCTTACATATACACATATCTATAAATATTTCTATAGGTAACCACCTGTATCTATCTTAAGCAAAATATGAATTCATATTGATGTCTCTACTTCTAATCCACTACTACCTGGATCATTCTAGTTCCTTCTGACATTTTTTTAAAAAGTATTCCTTTGTATTTCATATGAATTGGTAGTTAGAATGAAATGAAAGTTCAATTTTTGGCAAGAATAATTGATAGGAGTGGTGAGTTCTTCCATCAAGAGGTACATAATAACTGGCTGTCTTTTCCTGATGTTGGCAACTATAGATGATCATTTCATAGGATCTATTAATTCTTCACTGTTTAAAAAATGGTAAAATTTTGATTGGCTCCTTAATCTTCAATTAGCTAGAATGCTTATAGGAGAAATTTCCCTTCATCAAATATTCGGTAACTTTGAGATACAGTACATATTTAAAAAACTGGAAACATGCTAAATTCCTTTCCTCATTATTTTTAAAATAATGAATTGGTTCCCTAGCATGCTCCAAGGCAGACCACTGAATTCTTTTTGTTTCTATCATTGTGAACTTGAAGCAGCTCTATAGGAAAGGACTCAGGCCTCCACCTCTAGTCTTGACTCCTGACAATGGAATATGGGCTGGTTGGTAGGGGTGGGGAGGTGGAGCAGAGGCAGAGAGGAATTTGACAAGGAGGCAAGGTTGGCAGGGCCGGGGAGGGGGGGGGGTCTTGAAGGCTTCCATAATCATTCACCCAGAAAAAGCACTGGTCTCAAAAGTAATTCCTATAAAGCAGTTGCCTTGGTTTTATAGTTTTTCATGTTGCCATAGAAAGCTGAGTCCATCTTTAAAAGCCTCCTCAAGCAACCAGGAAAGAAAGAACAGCTTAAAGCTCTGAAAATGGCATGTTTGACTCTTTAAATCCTTAAAGACAGCCCTACTAGGAGAGAAAACAAGTCACAATTGGAAGGCCAGGGGAAGGGGAAGGCACTAATTCTCAATTCCACCTAAAACACATTTTAAAAACTACACATATCCCCAAACCACCCCCAGACATTCTGATTCTATTGGACTGGGCTTGAACCCTGGAATAGGCAGTTTTTGTAAAGTTTTTATAAGCTTTGTGCAAGGGGACTCTAATGTTAAACCAGGACCATGTCTAAGGTCCCCTAAACGCTAGCAGGCTAATGGCAATTGTGTCACTCCTACAGCTCATCACCTAGATCCAGGTACCTGATGATAGTAGATGGCATCTCTGCCCTGAAACTCAGAAGACTAGGAAACACTAGCTAGGAATGATAACACCATACAACACTAATCTGCCCTTGGGGTACTGAGGCCTGATAAGTGTGGCTCACTTCAAACCCCTGGGTCTTTAACATAAGACACAGCCCTGTGTCCCCACCCTCCACTCTAACAATGGCTACCTGTACTTTGTGTCTTGCACCGCTCTAAGTGCCTCCCTTCTCTCCATGTCCCTAACAGGTTGGTATCATCTCTATTTAACAGATGAGTAACCACGATCTGAGAGAGTTACGTGACTTGCAAAGGTCACAAGCCTGTGTCTGAGTGGGTTCTGGTCTTTTTGCCATCATGTGTTGTCACTCACAGGCTGTGCCTTTATACCCAGGCCGTCCAGAAGATGCCTCTTGCTTTCTCATATATAATATTGATTCTTGGTGTGGGGGCAATCTGCAGGGTGGGGAACACCTGGCCTGGAGTGTCCTGAATCCCTGTTCCTCACCATCAGGCCCTGAATAGCCCCTGCCCTGTGGTAGGGTAATGCAGCTGTCCCCCACCCTCCTTCAAGCTCAAAGGTAAAGTGTGGAAAGCCAAGGGGGCTTCCTCTACTCCCGCTCCTCCTCACTCCCCTTCCGGCGCCACAGGGTTCCACCCACACCCACCGTCCCCCAGAAAATCTCACTGACCCTGTGACTTCTCCATGTGCCACTCTGTGTGCGTCTGACCCACAAAAGCAGCTGTCCAGTATCTAAGGCCACCCCATTTCCTGACTAGAACTACACTTGTCAATGCCCAGTCCCCTCCTTCATCCCCATCTCGGAAAGCGACACCATTTTCACCTGGGCCAGAGTATCTGAACTAACGCTAGCCCAGCGCTGCCCCCAGCCCCGCACTCACTCAGTCCCCCAGGCCCCTCGAATCCACCATTCAAGAGCCTCCTTACACCATCGTGCCTCCCCATCCCCATGTCGCTAGGGTACCCTTGGTCTCTGAAGCCAACCCTGCCTCATTTCCTCCCTAGCCCAAACCTAGGCTTCCTGTACCACCCAGTCCAGACCAAAGGTAGTTTGCCGAACGCCGTATTGCCCCTGAGGCTCCCAGGACTCTCCAGTAATTAAATCCTGCTCAGGCTACACAAACTTAAGAGCTTCCCAGCTCTCTGCACTATCAGAGACCCTCCCACCGGCTCCAGACTGTGACGCAGGCGCGTATTTACCGGCCTAGCTCCGGGTTCAAGGCGGGGACCACACTTGCAGCCCCGCCTCGCGATAGGCCCAACCCAGAGGCTGCTTTCGGTTTCCTGAGGGTCCAATGGCCTGGGACTACAGTCGGGTCTGCAAGCCCCGCCCCTGTTGGCTGCTGCTGGGGCCAGTCACGTTGCTCCGCCCTAAAGCGCCTAGGTTCCGCCCCTGGGCCCTTCTGGGATTGGCCCTTGCGACCCCGCCCAGGCTCGGATTGGTCCGCCAGACCGGCCCGCCTACCCACGTGGCCAACGGGACAGCACAGGGCAGCGTCCGGCCATGGCCGGGGCCCGCAAGCTGGAGCTGGCCGGGGCCCGCAAGCTGGAGCTGTCCGAGGCCCTGGCGCTGGGGCCTGCCTGGCGGCACACCTGTTATGCGCTGCTTTATGCGCCAGACCCTGGGACGCTCTTCGGCCGCATCCCACTGCGCTACGCCATACTGGTGAGAAGGGGGCGCTGCCGGTCACTCCCCCCTCGGCCCTGCTTCCTCGCTGGGGTGTTTCTCTGGGGCGTCCCTGCCAATACCCGCTTCCTCCTCCCACAGATGCAGATGCGCTTCGATGGGCGCCTGGGTTTCCCTGGTGGCTTCGTGGACAACCTTGACAGGACTCTGGAGGACGGGCTGAATCGAGGGCTACTGGAGCAGCTGGGCGAGGCGGTGGCCGACTTCCGCGTGGAACGCGCTGACTACCGCAGCTCACACGCCGGCTCGAAGCCGAACGTCGTGGCCCACTTTTATGCCAAGCGTCTGACCCTCGAGCAATTGTTGGCAGTGGAGATTGGTGCAACAAACGCCAGGGCCCATGGACTGGAGGTGGGGCCAGCCTGGGACCTCATCCCACATCCGATTCTTACCTCCTCTGTGCTTTCCCTTGCTCCAGAATCTCTGATTAGGGAGGTTTTCCCCTGTCATACCTTGCTCTCTTCCCTATTTCCTTGGTGTTTCCCTTTTCCCCATTTTCTTGGTGTAGTGGAGATCTTCCTAATCTGTAATCTGGATCATACTGCCAACCTGGGCTCCCTGGGAAGATTTCTACCTACCCTACTCTTCCTCAGGCTCTGGAGAGATCTTTCTAGAACACACCCATCCAAGTCTCTATGTTGCTCTCTATTGATAATGTGATAATGATGAAGTATCTGCCCTAGTCTTTTATTGTTGGGCCTCTGTTTTTCTTAGACAGAAGATATAGCCCTAGTACTTAATCCTAGGCGAGTAGGGAAACAGTATATGAAGGCAGTTCTCACATTTTAACAAATATCAGAATCATCTAGGGGGCTTATTAAAACAGCAAATACTAGAGTCCACTCCCAAAATGCGTTTTGGGGTGGGGGAGATACAAGAGGAAACCTGAGAATTTGTATTTTTCACAAATTCACAAGTGATGCTATTACAGCTAGGTTTCCCATTTTGTGAACCATTGTTGTAGGGCTAAGTAAGCATCCATCCTGGAGTCAGGAGCTGCTAGAGGTTAAGGTACAGATGTGGGAAGGATTAACATCAATGGGGCTGGACAGCATATCTTGGGTCATTTCCCTGAAGCGGTTTGGGCCCACTGGGTCTCATTTAAATATGAGCCTTGGGGCTGGAACTGTTGGGGTAATAAGGGGTGAGGCATCTGCTCTAGGAAGATCTGCTGGAGAAAGGACGGAGTTAATGGGATGAGCTACCTGTGGTCCCAGTGTCTCCTGTCTCCTTTCTTTTACAGGTGCTGGGCCTGGTTCGGGTACCACTGTATACCCTGCGAGATGGTATAGGAGGCCTGCCTATCTTTTTGGAGAATTCCTTTATTGGTGCTGCCCGGCAGCAGCTACTGGAAGCCCTCGAGGAATTGGGACTGTTGGAATTTGATGCAGTCTCAGCCCTTAAGAACCCAGCTCATAAACAGAGGCAACCCTCCGTGAACTCACATAACGTGAGATAAGGACCTTGGTACTGAGTGAGAGAGAGAAAGGAGAAATGTATTCTCTTCTGCCCTAAGAGGTGATAGATGATATCAGATTAAAATAAGGATCACTGTGTATGATATGTTTTGAGCAGAGGACCCCCCCCCCAACTCAGGGTGTCAGGGGAAAAAAATCCACAGGTCCAGGGGCTCTTGCAGATTTTCATAGCCTGCCACCTTTCTGTATGTTTTCACACACAGCCTGACACCTTTCCCCCATCAAGTCCTGTTTGTCCAGGAAATAGCATTTGTCACAATACCCTGCTCCTTGTTGGCAAGGATCTTCCAAAGCAATAGCAGGTCTCTTCCCACATTCTTCTATGGCTGCTCTCCAGGGTCTAGCCCAGTCCATGTTTGGTGGGGAGGATAGAGAAGCAGAGGACCCTCTTTGCTTTCTGAAACTAGTCATACCCTTGCCTGAGGGTTGACCAAAGCAATTGGCTTCTAAAAGGTGGAAGAGGGTCTCAGCCAATCCCCAATCCTTTTCTTCCCCTGAAACTGGGGAGGAGTGATGAAGTGGCTAGATCTCCTTGGACTTAACATGGACCCGAGACCTATGAGTCCTGATGCCTCTTTTCCAGAACTTTCATCCTGGGACCCCTTAGACTCTGGGGACATCAGAGGAGAACTGACCCCAGCCCCTGTCTAACCCTGTTGTGCCAGAAAGAGCCTTCCATTATAGAAAGAGACTTATAGCTGGGCCTTGAGGCTCTTCACTTCTTTCAGCAGATATTTATTTTGTACCTATTAAATGCCAGGTACTACAAAAGGTATAGATAGAGAGCCATAGGCATGCTCTCCAAAACTCAAACATTTTCTTAAAGGATAGATTGCAAATATATTAAGCTCTATTAACCACATGTTTTTTGTGGGTTTTTAAAAAATATTTTTTTTAAATTAAGAAAAAGTATTTATTTTAATTGTGTACAACATGATGTTTTGAGATATGTATAAATTGTGGAATGACTAAAATGGACCAATTAACATATGTATCACCTCACATATTGATCAATTTTTTAATGGTAGGAACACTTAAAATTTACTCTTAGCAATTTTTAAGAATACAGTGCATTGTATCAATTGCAGTTGCCATGTACAACAGATCTCTTGAACTTATTCCTTCCACCTGAAATTTCATGTCCTTTAATTAACATCTTCCCAATTCCCACCCACCCCCTGCAACTCCTGTAACCAATATTCTACTCTCTGTTTCCATACGTTTACCCTTTTTAGATGTCATGTATAAGTGAGATCATGGGATATTTGTCTATGCCTAGCTTATTTCTTTTAACATAATGTTCTCCAGGCTCATCCATGTTGTCACAAATCACAAGATTTTCTTCTTTCTTAAGGCTGACTGGTATTCTATTATTTTTATATATCAAATTTTCTATATCCAGTCATCCATTGATAGACACTTATGTTGATTCCATATCTTGGTTACTATAAAGAGTGCTGCAATGAACATGGCAGTGCAGATATCTCTCCCAGATCCTGATTTTAATTTTTTTGGATAAATATCCTATAGTGGGATTACTGGATCATATGGTCATTCTATTTTTTCCTTTTTGTTTGTTTGTTTGTTAATTTTTAGTCATTTTATTTTTAACTATTTCCATTCTGTTTTTCATAATGGCTGCACTAATTGACATTCACACCAACAGTGTATTTAGTGTTCCCTTTTCTCCATTTCTTCTCTGACACTTATCTTTCATCTTTTTGGTAATAGCTATTCTAACAGATGTGAGGTGATAGCTCATTGTGGTTTTAATTCATATTTGCTTGGTGATTAGTGCTCTGTTGAGCATTTTTTCATATTCTTGTTGGCCATTTTTATGTCCTCCTTTTAGAAATGTCTAGTCATGTCCTTTGCCCAATTTTTAACTGAGTTATTTGTTTTCTTTCTATTGAGTTATTTGCATTACTTATATTTTGGATATTAACCTCTTATCAGGTATATGGTTTGAAACTATTCTCTCCCATGCTATAGTTTGTCTCTTTACTTTATTGATGCTTTTCTTTGCTGTACAGAGGCTTTTTAGTTTGATGTAATCCCATTTGTCTATTTTCACTTTTGTTGCTTGTACTTTTGAAGTCTTATCCCAATAGCCATTGCCAAGACCAATGTCATGAAACTTTTCCCCTACATTTTCTTTGTGTTATGTTACAGTTTCAGGTCTGGCATTTAAATCTTTAATCTAATGGTCCAAGATGATGGACTAGAAACAGCCTGCACATACTGCTGTCAAGGAGAGGATCAAAAGTTGCAAATGGATATTTACCTAAGGATGGATCATCTTCAAGAGAGCATTATGAATCAACAGAGAAGTGACTAGAAGATACCCAAAGTGAAGGAGAGGGAAGTGAGTTGACCCAGTGGGCAGCATCAGAGGCACCTGGGGAAGGCACCTATATGTAGAGAAGGAACAGAGGAAAGAACCCTGGGGCTCCACACTCCCCCTGCAGCAACCTGTGCTGCAAGAGAGCCCCTCCAGCGTTGCAAGCCTCTTGACTGAGGCAGGAAGCTACTTGGAAACTGTGTAGTAGCATTGCTCCAGAGAGTAGAACTAAATGAAAATTGTAGCCAAAAAAATCCACAAAGGATCAATGAAAGGAAAAGTTTGTTATTTTAAAAGGTAAATAAAATTGGTAAACCACTAGCTAAATTAACCAGGAATAGAAGAGAAAGGATTCAAATAAGCCCAGTCAGAAATGAAAAAGGAGACCTATAGGTGATACCACAGAAATACAAAATATCGTTTGAGACTACTATGAAAACCTCTATGCATACAAATTATAAAATCTGAAGAAAATGGGTAAATTTTTGGAATCACACAACCTCCTAAGCTTGAATCAAGAAGAAATAGAAAACCTGAACAGACCAATAATGGGTAGCAAGATGGTTATAAAAAATCTCCCACCACAAAAGTGCCTAGATCAATTCATAGCTGAATTCTACCAGACTTACAAAGAAAAACTGACCCCTATCCTGAAACTGTTCCATAACATCAAGAAAGAGGGAATCCTCCCTAACTCATTCTATGAAGCCAATTATCACCCTAATACCAAAGCCAGGAAAGGAGATAACAGAAAAAGGAAATCATAGACCAATATCTGCCATGAAAATAGAGTCAAAAATCCTCAACAACATACTAGCAAACTGAAACCAACAGCACATCAAAAAGATAATCCATCACAATCAAGTGGGTTTTACCTCAGGGATGCAAGGGTGGTCCAACATATGTAAATCAACAAATATGATTCGCCACATAAATAGAATTAAAAATAAAATCTGTATGATCATCTCAATAGATGCAGAAAAAGCATTTGATAAAATGCATCACCCCTTTATGATAAAAAAAAAAACCCTAAGCAAACTAGGCATAGAAGGCACATACTTCAAAATAATAAAAGCCATATATGACAAACTCACAGCCAGCATCATACTAAATGGGGAAAGTTGAAGGTATTGCCCCTAAGATCTGGAACAGGACAAGGATGCCCACTGTCACCTCTTCTATTCAACATAGCACTGGATGTTTTAGCCAGAGCAATCTGGCAAGAGAAGGAAATTAAGGGTATCCAAATCAGGAAAGGTGGGGGGGTTGTCAAACTATCCTTGTTTGCCAACAGTATAATCTTATATCTAGAAAACCCTAAAGACTCTTCCAAAAGACTTCTAGAATTGGTAAACAAATTCAGTAAAGTCTCAGTTTACAAAATCATTGTACACAAATCAGTAGCGTTTCTATACACTAATAACAGTCAAGATGAGAGTCAAATAGAGAATGTAATACCATTTGCAATAGCTGCAAAGAAAATAAAATACCTAGGAATATACTTAACCAAGGAAATGAAAGATCTCCACAAGAAAAAAATATAAAACACTGATGAGAAAAATCATAGATGACACAAATAAATGGAAAAATACCCAATGACAATGAATTGGAAGAATTAAAATTTGTGAAATGTGCATATTGCCCAAAATGATTTACAGATTCAGTGCAGTTCCCATCAAAATTCCAATGTCATTTTTCACAGATCTAGAAAAAAATAACCCTAATCTTCATATGAAACCAAAAAAAGACCCTAAATAGCCAAAGTAATTCTGAGTAAAAAGAATAAATCTGTAGGCGTCACATTGCCTGACTTCACATTATACTACAAGGCTATAGTAACCAAAACAGCACAGAATTGGTATAAAGGGAGAGATATAGAGAAGTGGAACAGAATACAGAATCCAGAAATAAAGCCACATAGCTATAACCATTTGATTTTTGACAAAGCAGACAAAAACATACACTAGAGAAAGGATGCCTTATTCAATAAAGGGTGCTGGGAAAATGGGATAGCCACATGCAGAAGAATAAAACTAGATCCCTATCTCTCACTGTATATAAAAATTAACTCACGGTGGATTAAAGACTTAAATATAAGACCTGAAACTACAAAAATTCTAGAAAAAAACCAAGAAAATCTCTTCAGGACATTGGCCAAGGCAAAGAATTTATGACTAAGATGCCAAAGGCAAATACAGCAACAACAAAAAATAAATGGGATATAATTACATTATTAATAAAAAGTTTCTGTACAGCAAAGGAATTAATGAACCGAGTAAATAGACAACCTACAGAGTGGGAGAAAATATTCACAAACTATACATTCAACAAAGGATAATATCCAGAATCCACAAAGAACACAAACAAGTCAACAAGAAAAAAATAAAATAACCCCATCAAAAAGTGGACAAAAGACATGAACCAATTTTTCTCAAAAGAAGATAGACAAATGGTCAAGAAACATGTGAAAAAATGCTCAACATCACTAATCATCAGGGAAATTCAAATTAAAACCACAATAAGATACCACCTTACCCTGATCAGAATGACTATTATTTAAAACTCAAAAAACAATAGATGTTGGAATGGATATAGTTATAAAAGAACACTTATACACTGTTGCTTGGACTGTGAATTAGAAGTGTTTCATCAGTGTTTTACAGCTTTCTGTGTACAGGTCTTTCACCTCATTGATTACATTTATTGCTAAGTATTTTAATTTTTTGTAGCTATCATAAA